TAGGGCTCTATGCTGGGCGTGGAGCCTGCCTGAGATTCAGCCCCCATGCCCCACCCCGACTCATGCATGTGTGCCAGCTCTCTCAAAAAAATTGGTCTGTTTTGTATTTATCAATTTATTTTTAAGAGATTTTATTTTACAGAGAGAGCTAGCGAGCACAAGCGGGGGGAGCGGCAGGCAGAGGGAGAGGGAGCAGCAGGCTCCCCACCCAGCAAGGAGCCCAACGTGGGGCTCCGTCCCAGGACCCTGGGATCAGGACCCGAGCCAAAGGCAGACGCTCAACCAACTGAGCCACCCAGGTGCCCCAAGTCTGTTTTGTATTTAATAGCTGTAGTTGAAAGCTAACTGAGAAGGAAGTTTACAGTGATGGTGTAAAAGGAAGGTTTTGAATATCTGCATATTTTATTTTGTAAAATGTTCCCAGTTACCAGATTGCTAAGTGGGACAATTTTTTCCCCCAAATTTATTTATTTTTTTTAAAGATTTTATTTATTTATTTGAGACAGAGAGAATGAGATACAGAGAGCATGAGAGGGAGGAGGGTCAGAGGGAGAAGCAGACTCCCTGCCGAGCAGGGAGCCCGATGCGGGACTCGATCCCAGGACTCCAGGATCATGACCTGAGCCGAAGCAGTCGCTTAACCAACTGAGCCACCCAGGCACCCTCCAAGTTTATTTTTTTAGTAATTTCTACACCCAACATGGGGCTGGAATTCACTACACCAAGATTAAGAGTCGCATACCTTTCCAGCTAAGCCAGCCAGGTGCCCCAAGTGAAAAATTGATGAAAACAAGAGTGGCTTCAAAATCAGGAAGAATGATTTAATTTGTAAAAGGCAAACAACTGAAGGCTGAGAGTTGGCATTGTATTATCTGGAGATCTGTTCAGGATTTGGGGGACTAGGCTTCTTTCACTTAAGTGTTTGTTTACTGGGTGTCAATTATATGCTAGGCCCTGAGGATACAAAGTGAAATGGCATTATCCAGGCCCTCAGAATGCTTTTATCTAGTTGGAGGAGATTGGATATTTAGATACCTCTAATGGAGGTATATAAAAACATAGTGGACAGAGTATTCCATCTGGGGGAGTTAGGAAAAGACTTCAGAGAAGTCATTCTTTTTTTTTTAAAGATTTTATTTATTTGAGAGAGAGAGAATGAGAGAGAGCACATGAGAGTGGGGAGGGTCAGAGGGAGAAGCAGACTCCCCGCCGAACAGGGAGCCCGATGCGGGACTCGATCCCGGGACTCCAGGATCATGACCTGAGCCGAAGGCAGTCGCTTAACCAACTGAGCCACTCAGGCGCCCAGAGAAGTCATTCTTATCAAAGATAAGAGGAAGAGTTGGTAACCCAGAAGGAGGGTAAGCTGAGTAAATTGTGGTTCTGGACTATGGAGACCCAAGAAAGAATGCTTTGGGGGAAGAGTCCAACAGAGAATGGAAGATGAACCTGAATAAGTAAAGGGCAGACCACAAGAACTTTGACTGCCACTCTGGAATGTTACCACTTAGTGCCTGTACTATTACGATTGATTTTGAAGTAAAACATCTCTCAAGGACCCATGTTGCTTTTTAAACACAGTCATGAGGGGTTATTTAAATGATTTCACAAATGGTTATGTAGACAGACACTGGCATGTGTGGGATTTGAGAAACCTTGAAGTAAGTTATTCATTTTTTTAGAATTTATCTTAGTTTTGTTTAAAGAAATTTTGTTCAGGTTTTCACAGATGAATTGGACAAGATGGATCATGCCCATTTGTTCTCTTATCAGTAAGTAGACCTTTTTCTCAGTACCTAGGATAAAATCAAACTCTATTTCCCATTTCAGGGATAGACTAGCTTAGAACCATGGGAATAAAACACAGGCTTTGGAACTAAACAGAACCATCATAATTCAAGTATTTGAGCCTCAATTTTCTCATCTGTAAAAGGGGATGGCAATTTAAATTAATTGAAAGGATTAAGTTAGACAATGCGTATATACAGGAAACATTCAGAGGACCGCTCTGTTAGCTCCTCCCCCACCCACCCCCATCCCCGGCAAGTTTAGGTGTGGTCTTTTGCTGAATACATTAAACAGCTGTTAGAATCTCCAGAGCTTGGTTTACAAAGATGACTAATGCAGTTTCTAACATCCAGGAAGTTTCTTCCCTTCTGTTTCTTCTTTACAGTTTCATCCCTTTTTGTTTCTTAAACTTTGCCTTAGGGACTAATCAGCTTGAAAGAATTAGTTAAAAATGCATATTCTCAAACCTCACCCCAGAGAATCTGATTCACCGATTTACTACCGAGAGGGAGACTAGGAATCTACCTTTTTATTTTTTTTATCTATCTATTTATTTATTTGATAGATTTTCATTATTCCTATTTTATACATGAGGAAGCCCAGAGAAGTTTTGTTTTTGTTTATTTTTAAGATTTTATTTATTTGAGAGAGAGTGAGAGTGAGAGAGCGCACATGAGTGGGAGGAGGGGAGCCTGATGCGGGGCTAGATCCCAGGACCCTGAGATCATGACCTGAGCTGAAGGCAGCCACTAAACTGACTGAGCCACCCAGGCACCCCTGAATCTACCTTTTTAAACAAAGCAGCCAAGAGTTTGGATAGAGACTGTTTGACATTATATTTTGAGAAACTTTGATCTAGGGAGATGCTATTGTGATTTGTAACGTAATGTGATGTTTTATATAAAAGTACACAAGAGTATGATGCCATTTGAGCTGTCCTAGAAGTTAGAGATTTTTTTTTTTCAGGAGCTAGAAGGGAACAATACAAAAACATTACAAAAATTATATATATAATTTTATTAAGCCCATTTTTATAAATGGTTATACCAGGCATGCTTTATTCATTTAAGAATCTATGGAAGACTTGGGGCGCCTGGGTGGCTCAGTCGTTAAGCAGCTGCCTTCAGCTCAGGTCATGATCCCAGGGTCCTGGGATCGAGCCCCGCATCGGGCTCCCTGCTCCGCAGAGAGCCTGCTTCTCCCTCTCCCCCTGCTGCTCTGCCTTCTTGTGCTCTCTCTCTCTGTGTTAAACAAATAAATAAAAATCTTTAAAAAAAAAAAAAAAAGAATCTATAGAAAACTTTTTGTGGGACTTCTGGACTGGAATCTGGCACTACAACTTACTAGCTTTGTTGAGTTTGGGCCAGTTATTTCCCAGCCTAAATTTCTTATAAAATAGGTAACTTCTCTAGTACCGATATTTTCCTTATGAGCATGACACAAAGAGGCAGAATGTTTAACTGACCTAGGCACCTAACACAGCAGGCATTTAACAATCACTTCACTTTCTTCAGGGTCTACGCAAAGGGGCAGAGGCCTGTTTTAGGGGGGATCCAGGCTTTATTATTATTATTATTATTTTAAGATTTTATTTATTTATTTGACGGAGAGAGAGAAGAGCAGGGGGAGAGGGAGAAACAGGCTCTCCGCAGAGCAGGGAGCCCGATTCGGGACTCGATCCCAGAACCCTGAGATCATGACCTGAGCCGAAGGCAGATGCTTAACGACTGAGCCACCCAGGCACCCCAGGGGGATCCAGACTTTAAAACATAACAATACATCATGAAGTGCTGAATTGTAAATAATTTAGTGACAGCATGTAAGATACAAGGGGCTACAGAGAATGAATAACCTCCATGTCATTGACAAGTCACCCAGGCCGCCCCCACCAAAATCAGGAAAAAGGGGAGGTGGAATGGGAGGCCAGAAATTCAAGTGCCTCAGGAAAAACGTCCTTTAACTTTGTAGTTACAAATGCAGGAACTCTTTATCTTGCCATCCTGCTTTATGCTTAGACGGTATTTACAATAAAGGGGAGAAACAGGAAGTGGCTTTTAGGACATTGATTCTGGGAGGTTCTCCAATGTCTTTTAGCCTCAAAGACCAACTCTTGAAAAGTTAACCCCACAAAAATTAAGTAGTTAGCACTTTTATCTGGGAGAAGTTAGTAAAATGGCGTTTGCTGGTCTCACAAAGCCCTTGCGAATTGTCAGCTCGGTATTAACTATGAGCGCGTCGCCAGATTTCGTCGTGCACGCACCCACAGGGCTTACACCCACATTCAGAGGCATCCGCCCGCCTGCCCGCCCAACCCCGGCAAGGGTGAGACTTAAGAGGTACTTTTAAGAACGGGTCAAACGAGCCCTGGTGGCGAGGTAAAACTGCGCACCAACTGTCTTGGCTCTGACACTTGTTGAGCAGCAGGGCTCCACTGAAGCATGCCACCTAGTCACTGTAAAGACGTCCCCTGAGAGGGCCAAAATGGCGACGGACTCCTCTTGGCACAGCCCTGCTCCCTCCCCCCAGGACCGAGGCTCTAGTAGCTCCCATTGGCCAAGTTGGAGGCGGTGCCTGGCTTCCTTCGCCACCTCATTGGACTGAGTGACTGAGGGAGACGCCAATTCTCCTCTGCCCACTCCAAAATCCCGCCCTCAGAGTCCATTCAGCGTTTAATTGGCTTTTCATTCACGTCAATTTGCGTCCTGTCGTGTCTTTCTTCAGTGTTAATCCAATCATAACTTTCTTGGCTGCCCGCCTGATTTCTGATTGGTTTTGATCAGCTTCATCCTATCCCATTTCTGCCTACTTCTTACCACCTCCCACCGGGGACATTGCCCAGGCATGTCCAGGGTTCTGGTTGGTCGTTGTTCTGTCATTCCAATCAAAGTTCTTCCTATCCCTACCGTTCAGGGAGCCCGCCTGGCAGTTAACTGGTTTCTTTCCAAGCCTATCATCACTTGTTCCCGCCCATCCTCACTTCCTGCGTCTTTCATTGGCTTTTAAAACTGAGAGGGCGGCCTCCTTGGGCGGACACCAGGCACGCAACTTTGTCTTACACGCCTTAGAAAGCAAGCGAGTCTTGTCATTGGACAACCTACCCGTCTTTCTTCTGCAAGTCCCTCCTTTCTCCCTCCCTCATTGGGCGGGGCAGCAGCTAAGGGGCGGAGCCTAGGCCGGGCTTGTGGCGCGCTGCTCCCTCCTCCTTACCCCCCCCCCTCCCTGTCCGGTCCGGGTTCGCTTGCCTCGTCAGCGTCCGCGTTTTTCCCGGCCCCCCCCAACCCCCCCGGACAGGACCCCCTTGAGCTCGTCCCTCAGCTGCCACCATGAGCGGTAAGGATGAGTCCACTCCAAGCTTAGGGGTGGGAGGGGAATGAGGGGGCGCGCGCGAGGGCCGACCGGGCGGTCCCCGCCGTGAGGGGGGGCGGGCGGGAGGCGGCGGCGGCGGCCTTGGTCCCGCCCGGGGCGGAGGGAAGGGAGGGAGAAGGGGCAGTGGCGGGGCCTGCGAGAAAGAGGGGGATGGGCCGCCCGCCCCGGGGGAGGGGGCAGCGTGGCCTCGCCCGCCCCCTGCCCGCCCCGGCCACGGGGGACGGGCCTTACCCCCCACTATTCGGCCGCCCGCCTGAGGCTCCTCCCGCCGGGGGCTGGAGCCGCGGGGGCGGCCCGAGCAGTGCAGGCCCCGCCCGGGCCAACCGCCTCCCTGGTCCGCCCTCTGGTCGCCGCCTGCCCCAAGGCCCTCCCCTCCCCCCGTAGGTTTCCCCTCCCCCCCACCGTCCCGCCCTTTCCACGCCCCTCACCCCGAAACCGCCCTTTCCTTCTAGGGCCCGCCCTCTGTCCGCCCCGAAACCTCCAGATTCCTAACCCCTGGACCCCTTTAGCCCCTTAGCAGTATTCACAAATGTTTCCCCACTCACACTTTTTATTTGTTCTTTTCCCTTTTCCCCTCTTCTCCTCTTGGTCCTTTTTACACTTGAATTTTTCTCTTTCTCCATATCCTTTGACCCTAATTTTAGCAAGCTTTCCATCCACCCACATGTTGTTTTTTGCCTTACCTATCCTTCTCCTTTTTTTCACCAGGATAATTTTTTGTATCTTGAAACTCTTTGAACATGTCCACCGCCCCTCACATTTCCTATGTGAAAAGTACATTTTTAATGTTTTTTGGGTTTAATTTTGTGCAAGGGAGAATTGAGGCCCAGTTTTAGCGCTACTGTGATCTGGATGTCCTACAACTGCCCTTTCTCCACTCCACTTTTTTACACTAGTGCCTTTCATCTTACTGTTAATTATTTCTTTTTCATCAGAGTGTCCTTTACTCCTCCTCACCTTACCCTTTTCCTTCCCCCAGCTTTAAGTTGTTTATCTTTTAATTCTTTTTAGACCAAGATCACTCCATGGATGAAATGACAGCTGTGGTGAAGATTGAAAAAGGAGTTGGTGGCAATAATGGGGGCAGTGGTAATGGTGGTGGTGCCTTTTCTCAGGCTCGAAGCAGCAGCACAGGCAGTAGCAGCAGTGGAGGAGGAGGAGGGCAGGTAAGTGATGATCAGGACAGAGTGGGGGAGAAGTTAAGAGAACGTGGATATTCTTAGATGATTGTCTTTTCACAGAAACATTTTTAGGAAGGGGCTAAACCCTTTTTTAGCTAGGGAAGTTAGCATAGTGAGACAAATGATTGGCAGATCCCCAAGATGAGGATTTCAGCAGTATAGATAGGTCAGCTATTTCTTTCTTTCTGTGTTCCTTCCTTCCTTCTTTCCTTTCCTTTCCTTTCTTAGCTTTCTTTCCTTCCTTTCTTTCCCTCTTTGCCTGCATTGTTTTGCTGTTTACTTGTTTTATACTGCCCCCTGGGCTGGCAGCTGGGTGTCACTAAACTAACTCCTATTCTCTCCCTTATTTTCTGGCCAGGAATCCCAGCCATCCCCTCTGGCTCTGCTGGCAGCAACTTGCAGCAGAATTGAGTCACCCAATGAAAACAGCAACAACTCCCAGGGCCCAAGCCAGTCAGGGGGCACAGGTGAGCTTGACCTCACAGCCACACAGCTCTCACAGGGTGCCAATGGCTGGCAGATCATCTCTTCCTCCTCTGGGGCTACCCCTACCTCAAAGGAACAGAGTGGCAGCAGTACCAATGGCAGCAATGGCGGTGAGTCTTCCAAGAATCGCACGGTCTCTGGTGGGCAGTATGTTGTGGCTGCCACCTCCAATTTACAGAACCAGCAAGTCCTGACAGGATTACCTGGAGTGATGCCTAATATTCAGTATCAAGTAATCCCACAGTTCCAGACCGTTGATGGGCAGCAGCTGCAGTTCGCAGCCACTGGGGCCCAAGTGCAGCAGGATGGTTCCGGTCAGATACAGATCATACCAGGTGCAAACCAACAGATCATCACAAATCGAGGAAGTGGAGGCAACATCATTGCTGCTATGCCAAACCTACTCCAGCAGGCTGTCCCCCTCCAGGGCCTGGCTAATAATGTACTCTCAGGACAGACTCAGTATGTGACCAACGTACCAGTTGCCCTGAATGGGAATATCACCCTGCTACCTGTCAACAGCGTTTCTGCAGCTACCTTGACTCCTAGCTCTCAGGCAGTCACTATCAGCAGCTCTGGGTCCCAGGAGAGTGGCTCACAGCCCTCCACCTCAGGGACTGCCATCAGTTCTGCCAGTTTGGTATCATCACAAGCCAGTTCCAGCTCCTTTTTCACCAATGCCAATAGCTACTCAACAACTACAACCACCAGCAACATGGGAATTATGAACTTTACCACCAGCGGATCAGCAGGGACCAACTCTCAAGGGCAGACACCCCAGAGGGTCAGTGGGCTACAGGGGTCTGATGCTCTAAACATCCAGCAGAACCAGACATCTGGAGGCTCTCTGCAAGCAAGTCAGCAAAAAGAGGGAGAGCAAAACCAGCAGACGCAGCAGCAGCAACAAATTCTTATCCAGCCTCAGCTAGTTCAAGGGGGACAGGCTCTCCAGGCCCTTCAAGCGGCACCATTGTCAGGGCAGACCTTTACAACCCAAGCTATCTCCCAGGAAACCCTCCAGAATCTCCAGCTTCAGGCTGTTCCAAACTCTGGCCCCATCATCATCCGGACACCAACAGTGGGGCCCAATGGACAGGTCAGTTGGCAGACTCTTCAGCTGCAGAATCTCCAAGTTCAGAACCCACAGGCCCAGACAATCACCTTGGCCCCAATGCAGGGTGTTTCCTTGGGGCAGACCAGCAGCAGCAATACCACCCTTACACCCATTGCCTCAGCTGCCTCCATCCCTACCGGCACAGTCACTGTGAATGCTGCTCAGCTCTCCTCCATGCCTGGCCTCCAGACCATTAACCTCAGTGCATTGGGTGCTTCAGGAATCCAGGTGCACCAGCTTCCAAGCCTGCCCTTGGCTATAGCAAACGCCCCAGGTAAGGCTTCCAATCTTTTACATTAATTTCCAGAGCTAACTAGCATCTTAACTGAAACTGTTGAGTCTAAGGAAGGAAATAGAGATTTTTGTGGGTAACAGTTTCTAGAGGGCAAGTCGATTAGAGAAATAGCAATGATTCTATTTAAGTCATTTGGAACCGACTTAACGGAAACTTTTTTTTCAGTTAATCTTAGGAGAAAGGAGCATTTCTGGGCAGTGTCCCTGGGGTCACTGTACTTCCAGTACTTTTGGTGCTACAGAACAAGGGTCAGCAAATTTTTTCTATAAAGGGCCAGATAGTATTCTTTTTTGTTTGTCTTTTTACAACCCTTTGAAAATGTAAACCATTCTTACCTCGAGAACTTTATTTGGGCTGCAGGCCCACCGCTTCATAGGATGAGAATTGATTATAAACTTGACCTATTTGTAGGACAGTTATTAAATAATCAGGTATTTCTTATGAACTGTAACTTTTTTTTTTTTTAAGATTTTTTATTTGTTTATTTGACAGAGAGAGGCACGGGGGGGGGGAGCACAAGCAGGGGGAGTGGGAGAGGGAGAAGCAGGCTTCCCGCCGAGAGGGGAGCCCGATGTGGGGCTCGATCCCAGGACCCTGAGATCACGACCTGAGCCGAAGGCAGACGCTTAACGACTGAGCCACCCAGGCGCCCCGAACTGTAACTCTTAAGTGAGGGAAAGGTGATATAGCGGGTTCCAGAAGGATTTTCAACAAAAAAAGTTACATAGTTAATCTCTAGTTAGCTAGAATATCCTACCCTCTGAGCAAGCTGGTTAGTTAAGGTTTAATTTTTTAAACTTCTAGTTATTGGGGCGTCTGGGTGGCTCAGTCGTTAAGGGTTTGCCTTCGGCTCAGGTCATGATCCCAGGGTCCTGGGATCGAGCCCCACATCGGGCTCCCTGCTTGGCGGGAAGCCTGCTTCTCCCTCTCCCACTCCCCCTGCTTGTGTTCCCTCTCTCACGGTGTCTGTCAGATAAATAAATAAAATCTTAAAAACAACAACAACAACAACTTCTAGTTATCTTAAAAGTAGAATCTGTCTGCGTCCCCTTACACTAATGTATATTTTCAGTAAGCTTCCTAGGTGATTCTGGTACTTCCTAGCTAGGAGAACCACTTCCTAGACTGCTTTTAAAGTAGCGTACGGTTAAGGGAGGGGAGAGAAAGGGAGAGTAAGGCCTGAAATGGAGTGGGGAGGTGGAGTTGAGAGGAATTAGGAATAAGGAGAGCATTGAAGGGAAAGAGTCCTCAGGGAAGAGGTATGTATTGGAATGTATGTTGAATCAGTTGACCACAATATTCAACTATTCATTTTAAATAGTGTTTCACGGGCGCCTGGGTGGCTCAGTCGGTTAAGCGACTGCCTTCGGCTCAGGTCATGATCCTGGAGTCCCGGGATCGAGTCCCGCATCGGGCTCCCTGCTCGGCAGGGAGCCTGCTTCTCCCTCTGACCCTCCCCCCTCTCATGCTCTCTGTCTCTCATTCTCTCTCTCGCAAATAAATAAAATCTTAAAAAAAAAAAAAAAAAATTTAAATAGTGTTTCACTGTTGGTTAATTTGAGATATGTCCATTTAAAAAAGTGGACGTCTATTTAGAATTTATTTTAAATTCTGTGGTGATGGAGCTAATCTTTAATAAAGAGCACAAGATTTTTTTCAAGATTTATTTATTTGAGGGGGGAGGGGCAGAGGGAGAGGGAAACCCAAGCCAACTCCGAGCTTAGTGTGGAGTCTGACGCTGGGCTCAGTCTCGTGACCCTGAGATCAGACCCGAGCCAAAATCAAGAATTGGACTTTTTTTTTTTTTTAAGATTTTATTTATTTTTGACAGAGAGAGAGAGTGTACAAGCAGGGGAAGCAGCAGCAGAGGGAGAGGGAGAAACAGGCTTCCTGCTGAGCAGGGAGCCCGATGTGGGGCTTGATCCCAGGTCCCTGGGATCATGACCTGAGCTGAAGGCAGACGCTTAACCATCTGAGCCACCCAGGCGCCCCAAGAACTGGACACTTTAACCCACTGCGCCACCCAGGATACTATAGATTTTTACATTATTGCATGATATATAAAAATTATGATGGGAAATAGTTTAATATCACCAAACTTAGTTTTATTGGAATATATGTGGGTTTATGAATTGTTTACTTTTATTGTAGAGTTCTCTTTTCATTTAGATTGGTTCTTATATAAAAGAGGATAACAGGCGCTTGGGTGGCTCAGTTGTTAAGCATCTGCCTTCGGCTCGGGTCATGGTCCCAGGGTCCTGGGATTGAGCCCTGCATCAAGCCCTGCATCAAGCCCCGCATCAGGCTTCCTACTCCGCGGGAAGCCTGCTTCTCCCTCTCCCACCCCCCTCTGCTTGTGTTCCCTCTCTTGCTGTGTCTCTCTCTGTCAAATAAATAAATAAAATCTTAAAAAAAAAAAAGATAAATAGACAATCATATTTCCTGCCTCCTGCAGTTTTGGAAAATGGTGGGCGGGAGGTCTGCTCAGGTTCCTAACTTTCTTACATTTTTTTCTTTTTTTAAAGATTTTATTTATTCATTTGACAGAGACAGTGAGAGAGGGAAGACAAGCAGGGGGAGGGGGAGAGGGGGAAGCAGGCTTCTCGCAGAGCGGGGAGCCCGATGCGGGGCTCGATCCCAGGACCCTGGGATCATGACCTGAGCCAAAGGCAGATGCTTAACGACTGAGCCACCCAGGCACCCCACTTTTTTTTTTTTTTGGTTAAGATTTTATTTATTAGATAAAGAGAGAGCTTAGAGAGAGAGAGAGAAAGAGAGATCATGAGCAGGGATGGGGGGTAGAGGGAGAAGGAGACTCCCCACCGAGCAGGGAGCCTGATGCGGGACTCCCATCGTAGCACCCTGGGATCATGACCTGAGCTGAAGGCAGATGCCTAACCGACTGAGCCACCCAGGTGCCCACTTTCTTACATTTTTGAGGTGTGTTTAAAATGACTACATTTTGAGCCTTAACAAGTTAACAGTTTTCTTAATGATTGGGAGATCTTAGAATAGAAAGAGTTGGAAGGGACCTAAGAAGTCATCTAGTACAACTGCCTTATTTTCTAGTTGAGGACATTGAGTTACAGAGAAGCAGTTAAGTAAGTGGTGAGACTACATACAAGTCAGCTAGGGCTTGTAATTAGTTCTTATGTAAGGCATTACCTATTAGTTTTAACTTAGGATGTGAGAAATCCTTTAGATTGTTAAAAATGTTTTAGAAAAGATATCTTTGCTGCTTTGAAGTTTAATGCTCTAGATGTGGCAAGTGTTTCATAGGCTAAAATTTATGGCTGGCCGTAGAAGTGGGAAAAGTTAAAACTAAACAGCAGCCTGGAAAATTAGACACTTGCTACACTAGCATGTTTGTTTTCTCTTTGCTCTTAGGTTGTATCCAGCAGTTTGCTCTTCCTCAAAGGAAAGCAAAGCTGTGGGATTGTTCCATTTAGTAATAATTTGGATCCTTGCAAATTTCTAAAAAGGTTTAGAACTTGGGCTTTAGAGAACAGTTATTAGGCACTCTCATTGCTAAATCATGCTCTGGGGAAGTCTGCCATTTAATATGTCATAGGATAGGGCTACCTAGCTATTATGGATGGTCTCAGAGCTCAAACAAATGCATGCCTTTCTGTGAAGTAGCAGCAGCTTGACATTCACTAACGAGAGAATGAGTTTCTGAAAGGCCATTTTGTGAGTTGAGATTGGTTGCCTCATTAATAGTGGTTTCCAAAGAGAAAAGTTTCCTCCTTTCTGGTTGGTCATACTTGTGCAACATTTTTCTCCCTTCAGTTGGTCAACTTTATCCTTAATGAAAGATAATAAAATCATTTCCTAGAAGCTTTAGTGCTGTTCATCTGTTGCCTGGCTGCTAAAAAATGTCTCATTTTACCCTCTTGTCTGGTATATAGTAATTTTACTGGAAAAACTCAATCTCTTGGCAGTATAATGTTGTAGAAAGAGCCTTGGATGTGAAATCATCTGTAGATAAGTGGATAGATACACAGCACTCTACAAAGTGAGACAAGTGAGACATTATTACATGGTTGTGGAAGACTGCAACTTCCATGGTGTTCACTTAGTCTGTTTATATTTATTATTTTTAAAAACCATCCCTTAGAAATTGTTTAAGCTCTCCTGTTGACTTTCAGGGTTTATTTCTGTTTGCTGAATACACAGGCAAAGGCACAAACTTAGAACCAAAGTAAGCCAGCCATCTTAGTATCCTGTGTTTTTTATGGCTCAGCCCCTGGTGGGTGGTAGTGAGGAAGGGACCACCCAGTAAACTGAGTTTAGTTTCCAGACAGTGAAATGATCTATGGGTTCTGAGGTTTTTTTTTTTTTAATCAGCAGCTTTTTTTGTTTTTAAATCAACACTGTTTCCCAGTTATCAGCACCCTTTCCTCTCATTTTGTAGTTACACTCTCACAGATCTTGTTTTTTTCCAGTTTAAAGCTTCAGGTTTTTTCTCAGACACTGCTGTGTCCTGAAAACTCTTCCACCAGGTTGACCGTGGGGGGGGGGGGGGCAACTTTGAAAGACAGTTTGTATGACTTCGTGGGAGTTCTGCCTAATAAAGAGTTCAGGGCTAGTCTTTGGCAGGAGAATAGAGCATATTTCCTTGATGGCTATAATTCACTCAAGAAGCAAATTTCAGGCACTAAAAATAAAAAATTCACATCTGCTTGGTTTTATCGAGGTCAGGAAAATGTCTTCTCTTAGAAGTTAAGTTGAATGTGATACCAGAGTTAGTTTGCCAACGGTGTCGCTAAACTTGGGGTCAGATTGCTGAGACCTAATTTATTAAAAAGTTGTATTTTAGACTAGGGTATTTGAATACTAGTGACAAGTAGGTTTAGATGATTTAAATGTGTTCAGAATTATTCTTTTGCAGAAGATCATTTGAGAGAATTTTTTCTTTTAAAATAATATACTTTATCAAATACAATGTCCAATGTTTCTGCATCATTTGCCTTTTTAAT